CAAAATTAAATCTAAACCAACAACCCCAAAATCCCAAAAGGGCTAAGATTTGGAAACAATCTCCAAAGAAAATTTTTATATTCTTTTCACTTCACTAAATTTCGGCTGAGTAAAATACATCAAATTCAACCTTGAAGGATCCTGAATTATTTTAAAATATGGTTAAGGGTTTCTTACACTTTATCCTGGGAACCAAATGGTTCATTTATTCCTGTGGCCTAACTAAAAAGAGATGCAAGCTGTGATGTTTTAGACAGACTGATGATGTTTCTGTCTAAATGAATCAACCCTCTCCAAAATAAAAATAATGCAGAGGACAACCTTTGCTCTTGCCAGGGAAAATTTGCAATGCTCTGAACTGTCTCAGCCACTAAGTTCCATTCTGGGCCCTAAGGAAGTTTGCAACCATATTTGCATGATTTTTAAGAGATTTAGATTTCTATTCATATATATTTATTGTAAAAAGGTAGCAAAATCTCTTACATGGCTTGCTGATTTTTGGTAATGTCTCCCTGTCTTTTTTTATACTTAAGAATTGGATTAAGAAAAAATTTTTAATGACTTTATGTGAAAAATATTTATGCCTTAGGCATTATCTATCTTCTGTGCTYCTTTCTTTTGAATGGTCTATGACTTCAAACTGATATTTCACTTTCTAATGTAAGATAGTGCAATGATAGTTGCAAATAAATTGACAGGTAGAGTACCTAGCTAGTTGCAAAAAATGTCTTTCAGAGATCATGATGTTCCCAAGTGTTTGGGAATGGAAAAAAACCCCATAATTTTTATATATTTAATATATGTATTTAACATATCTATTCATTATTCACAAGTGTTTCTATATATTTTACAAGTACACTTGAGCTACAGATCGTGAATAAGTGGTCTGTAGTATTTAGTCAGTGTTAAAATTTACTATTTGAACTTTAGGACTGATCATCTACATTTTGCAGCTCTTGATTCTGTTTCTTGAYTGGTTAAAGTAGTCTTCATACGTASTTTTCAGACCAATTTTGTTTCATCACTTAATAAGCTTAAAGAATCTTGAAAAAAATTCCCTACTTGTAACCATATGAATCAACAAAATCCTGACAGATGGGCAAGCAAATAATAAAAATATGATCAAATAATAAAAACATTATAAAATAATAACATCAACTGGCTGGACTAAAACCTTTCTGTCTTATTAAAAAAAAAAAAAAAAATCACAATCTAGTATCTAGTTTTATTTTATTTGTTTGGTCCAGAAGACAAAATTTAAAATTTAACTTTGTGTGTATACACCCAGTAGATGCCTTTAGGCAAGATATTCATTCAAAAACCCTTTTACAAGTTTTATATATCTATCTTTATTTACTTGTGTGTGTATATTTTTATGTGTTTCCTACATTACATATTTCTTTCCTGTATTTCTCACACACTGCCACATCTCTTTGGACACTCATATAAATCCTGGCATTCTTAAAAAAATCTTCACTGTAATTTTTTTTCTCCTTTTTAACAGAAATGTAGGCACAAGTATTTACTTAATTCAGAGCTAACTGTGTTCAGGCTGAAGTTTCATGCAGAAAACTTGCCAATTTTCTCCTTTCCCCTAGGATGAGTTACCTAAAGAGGATCCCCTTCCCAGAGATCCACTGAGCGGGCTGGGGATGCCACTCTTGTTCGTCACTGTCACTGGACTGCTTTTGCTGGCTGGGAAGAGATTCTGTGTTGGAGATGTTGGGGATTTGACAGGTTCAGCTGTTTTGGGTCGGGCTGAGAGGTTCAGTGGCTGAGCTGCTTCGTCCTGCAAGGGTTTAACGTAAATAACTATTAGGAAAAGACAAATGAAGACATCATTTTGCAAGCAGCAGTTACTTTACACCTCGAAGACAATGCCACATTCCCCAGCAATAATAACAAAAGGAGCTAATTATCTGCSTCCTTTAAGATTCAACGAAAGGAAACCTCATTAATTTCTCTGTGCTATGCTTCTTATTTACATTAACTATTTGACTGGATCATTCTTTTTGCCAAATTAAAATTTGAATTAGCTCACATTACAGCTTAATTTCCTAATGTGTTTTCGGAGATCTAAATTAACCTAGGGCATTTACAAAGAATTATTTAAAATTTCCAACAGCTCAGTAATGCTTTTGCACTGGTTCTATAAGAAAAGTTCCTGGCACTATAAAAATAAGTTATGTAGATTATTTTTAAATGTATTAGAAACTAAAGAATCAGAAGTACTACTATGAAAGAATAATTTGGAAACCCTGACAGCTCTTTGGCCCATGTTTAAAGCTGCTGCTAACTTATACATTCCATACATCTAATTCAGAGTGCATGTTTTGTTTAGTGAAATAGTCTGTGTTGGTCCCTCTTAATAGAAGATAAGAATTTCACTGAATTCAAATTCCTTTACTTATTAGGGTAATGTCTACATACCATATGCATTTCAAAATATATTTTATTTCCTAGAATTTTGCATATTTTATAACATTTTATTATTCAAATGCCATGTTTTGGACATATTTAAGTGAAATCAAATATTTTCCACATAAGTGCTCATTTGACACTGTTTTATTATTCATGTATTCTGTAGTTATTTCTGGTTCATTCAACCTTTAATATATCTTTATGTTTTATTTGCATTAAGACAAACTGTGTAAATCTAGTATCAGCATTTTTATGTTTTGATACCTTTCATATGCAACTGTGGAAGAAATTCCGTCTGACATWTGTTTTGTTTCTGTGCTGCAGAATAAAATATCTCAAGTTCTTGAAGAAGACTTATTTAAGCAATTAATTTCTATTGATCAGGATAAACATTCACAGTGCAACATTCTTCCCATTCTTTGAGCTTGTTCCTTCTACTTAATACATTAGGCAAGACAGAGCACTTGGAAAACGGTGAAAAAGTGATTTTCTGTAGTTAAAGAGGCCAGTAAGACAGATCTCTCATTTAAAATATGCCCAGAGCAGAATTATGCTGGATATAAGAGAATATTGTTCATATTTTAAAACACTGCACTGATCACTTCGAAGAGTAGAATTATGTTGAAATACAGTAATACATCACATTATCTCATCTTTTCCATTCTCTTTACTGTCAGGCAGTGATTTAGCAAAGTACATCTGGTCACACACACAATGCATTAAACAGGAAAACAAAATAAGCAGGTATTTATAATGCCATCACAGCACCAACTTTAAACTTTTCCCACAAACCTGCATGATGTTTCAGTTCTTCCTGGTCTCAGAGTGTGCACAAATGTCCACACCCTTTCAGAGCCCAGGTGAGAGCAGAAGCTCACAGGTACAAGGGACAGGGACAATTCTGGTGCTTTGTGACCATGCTTACAGGAGGCCTCTTTCCTTGCATCAGTGTTCAACTTTTAAATAAATATCCATCTAGTACTGCTACAACTGTGAAAGAACTCTAAACACTGCTAGAACCTGTTTGTATGTACTACATGGACAGTATTTTCATTTCTGAAAGGCATCCACAAAACTGCAAAACACTCTGGTCACTGACTTAAGAAAAACCTATCATTACTTTTGGAAAGATCTGACTTCTGTAAAAGAATTCCATTAGTTCTATAAATAATGCATGTAGTTTATACAAACTGCTTAAAAACARAGAAGATATAGAGGATTTGTTAATAATGCATGACGATCAAAACTGTCACATCTGACAAAGATAAGAATCTGCCAAGACTGAATATAGGTACTGGTTTTATACTAATAATTTCTTCATTAGCTATTGGTAATTGTCCACACAAAGCACTTGTAATTCTTCTCTAACATTTTGAATGCAGTAGTGTGCTTAATAAAAATAATCATAAAAAGACTTCAATTTTATTAACATATACTTTAGTCCATTCAAGTTACATTATGTAGGGAAACCCCCAAGAATTTGCATGTGGTCAATTCTGTAATAGGACTCAGCTGGCCACAAACCTGGAATGGTATTGGCCTCGGTTCAAGAAGATATGTGCTTGAATTTAACCAGGGAAAATTTTACTCACACAGTAAAGGTTTGGTTTGGTGTAGGTCCATTTGGCTCACTTGCTCCCAAAATTACTTTTTCACATTAAAGCAGTCAGTAGTATATGCTCAATGCAATAAATCACCGGTGTTAGGTATCACTACACTATGGCAACTTTGCTGGAACAGTTGGGCTTTGCTTTTGGTGGCTTCTGTATTGACCATAGCAAACTCTGTGTATGTGGTAAATTTCCCTGACTGCTCTCAAGCCTGGGGTTGGATTACAAGAGGTAAAATATTAGGCTAATACAYGTCTACAGCTAAGTAAAGTGAATGCTTTGCTAAATAAATGTTAGATCTGGCCATAATGGAATAGTTTTTTATTTATTAGTACTCTCAGCCTAGCAAAAAAGTGTCATGGAAATTTATCAGCCCAGGCAGAAATATCTACTCACCCACACTTTACCACGATGATTGATGATAATGAAAAAGCAAATTATATTTTACTCTCGTGTCAAAAAACAAGGAGAAAAAAAAGGAAACCACCACCTCAAGTGAGTAAAATCTTCTCAGGCTGGTTTGAGGCTAAGGACTGTTTGCCTGTAAGATGTTAGCAGCCAGCAAAAAAAAACCCGAAAAACCACAGCCCCTCTCTCTCCCCAAATAATCASTATGTGCCACCTTCAGCTCTATTTTAACAGCTCTGCATTTACATCTCCATCATTCAAACTGGTAAAACATCTGAATGTTGATTGTTTTTTACAGTTCAGAGCAAATTGGCTCTGAGCACGTTTGGCTTCATGGAATCCCAAGCAACCCCGGGAGAAGGCAGCAAGGGCAGCCAGGCAGTCCCACCCAAGGGCACGGGCTGCTCCAGGGGCTTCCAGGGAGCACAGAACTCATTCCAGGCTCCTGGCAAATGCCATGTTGTAGCTGCCTGGATCCAAGCGAGTGAGAATAAGCAGGCACGAGCACCCGGCGATGGCGCAAAACCAGCAAGAAGCGGCGCGGTTGTCAGCAGCTGTGTGAAATCAGCAAAAGTCAAATCAATCTGCAGCGACATAATGTTTTCCCCAGAGCCCTGACTTAGATATTATTTTTATAGGAGGCTTTTCCGAAATGGTAGAATTAAGTACAACTAGAGATTTTTAAAATCATTAGAAGCCCTAAAGTCCCTCTCTTACCCTAATAATATAAGCCAACGCCACATCTTAAGATATTCAGGGGTTCGGTGTGAAACAATTCATGAAATGGATGCCTTTTATGCATGTTACCAGATTATAAACTGAAATCTTGAAAATACCACATTTTGCTGATGAATCTGTTGTGCTGCCTGTGGTAGGAAGAGGGACGCCTGGTATTTTTGGAAACAAGTGAATGCTTTCTCTTCCCTTCCCTGTACTGATAATGCAGCACAGAAATGGAACTTTTTATTTGAATGTTGAATAACTGCAACGTGGCTCAGCTTCCAACTGTAAAACAATTACAGAGACCATCTGATTTCACTGTCCTTCTCAAACACCGACTTTTTTCTTTACTGAAAAATACCTTAACTTGAGTTACCGGGCTGGTCCCTCTCTTCTCATTTTTCATCCCAGTGGGTGAAAGTGCCCCTGTTGTATTTGGTGGCTGTGGAGTAGATGGCATTTTGGCTCCAGGAGAAACTTGCATGCTTGCCAGCTGAGCTGCATACAGTTGCTGGAAGACAAGAAGATATACATATATTCCTGCAAATTTCCTAAAAAAAGAAGCGGTAAATGTACTTTTCCCCACTGGTGTTTCTTCTGTTAAAGGATATTTTTCAGCTCCTGTTTGTGGCTTCACTTCTTGCTATTTGCAAAGAGAGAAAAAAACAAAGACTGGAAAATTCCCAAACACCAATTTCCTTTTTTTTTTCATTTGACTTTTGCTGATTTTTCTCTCTCTTTTTTTTTTTTTTTTTTTTTTTTTTTTTTTTTTTTTTTTTTTTTTTACCTTTTTGCTAAGGATGAGCACTGTTGTTGAGGAAAAAGCTGCATTGTGCTTGAACATTAAAAGCAAAAGTGGTAAAATTAAAAGGCTGTTTATGAAAAGGAGGTATAAACCCCTGTCAGAAACAACAGTAATCCAGGTCTTTCTGTTCTTAGCCAGAAATTAACCACCAACTCCAAAAAATTTACGGGGAGCTGGCACAGAAYGGCTTCCTACCAAAAGGCAAAGTTAAAATAGCCAGCAAGGTATGTCTCCATCTCTGTGATATGTCTTCTCTAAATGCTAATAAGGAATATAGGCCTTAAAAATTCCTGTAAATAGTGATGAAAGTATAAAAAAAAAGTCTGGTGGAACTTTAAAAAAAATTAACTGAAACATAATAAAAGACTTATATTAAAATAAATAATCCCAACCAATAAAAAGTGCTTACTGAACAAAACTGAATTGGTTCAACTTCTTTCCAGTGACCAAATTTAAACCCTCACCTTGAATCAGTATCATGAATAATTCTTCTGCCATAAACAGAGAACATCCTAATCCCTCTTCCACACATATATCTACATAAACTTTGCCTTATTAGTGAGAAAAAAGCCAGGTGGTTTCTATGTCATTTCCAACATTACTATCATTCAGATGGACAAATAAAAAAAATTACAGTAATCAAAAGCAGACCTTTCAGCACATGTAATTAAACGAAAGCTTAATAAAGAATAATTTTCCAGAGCCAGATGTGCTTATATCATAATTGTTGCTTTCTTTGGAACAATTTTTCTAATATAACAAGCCTCCACAGAAATGAAAGTTACACAATACTGCAAGTTCAGTGACTCAGTGGCGAGACAAATGTGAGAGGGAGGGGCAGAGTCACAGCTCAGGGTGACAAATAAAAACCATTGTTTGTTTGTTTCTTTTCATCCCTTTTCAGTACCACACAGAGACTACAAAAGGATCGCAGAATAATATTTTGAAATCAGTGGTGTTTAAACATTTTGGCTAAGGTACTGGGTTTTTTCCTACGCTAGAAGGGAAAAAGAGTGAAAASAGAAAAAATTCCCAGCTATTGGTGATGTCCTGGAGAAAGAAAATGAAGCCTTTCATAAAACAAGAGGYGTTTTTTCCCCCTAGAAATGGGATCTTACTCCTTTTAGAATATTTTTGAGGTCAATCTCTACCACCTTAATAGGATGCTCTGCTTAAAAAAGAGTAAAAAGCACATTTCACAAACTCTTGAAAGTTCACACATTCTCAGCTCAGGAATAATCGGGCACTGCACTATGAGAGAGATTACACAATAAACTTTAATACAATTGAAAGACAAAACCCAAAAATTATAAAGGTTTTCTCAGTATTCTGACAGTTGTCTATAGACAACAATACTTTTACTTTCTTTTCAACAATTTAACTTCTTCTTCAACTATCTGAAGAAGATTATTTACACTTTACTAAAAAAAAGACTAAAACTTTTATACTTGCTGTAGTGTGTGTTGCACTTTCAAAAGTGTAAAAGAAATTCTTTGTAAAAGTTAACTCAGATTTATCAACTAAAATTCAAAAGAATTTCCTTCTTAGGTGAGTCACTAGGGCACAAAAATGTGGGTGTGAATTATTCTTTCTGCAGCATTCCATTTTCTATAGGAGATAAAACTTGATTGTCAATTATGGCAACTAACMTAGCGTGGTGGGTTGACCCAGGCTGGGGGAGAAWATAAGATGGAGAAGTTCATGGGTCGAGATAAAGACAGGGAGATCTCTTACCTGTCACCATCACGGGAAAAAAAGAAATAAAAAAAATACCTAGCTTGGGAATAATTTATTTATTYTCATTTACAATAGAATTGGCTGGCAAAAAAACAGAGACTAATACTAAGGACCCATCCCTGCCATTTTCCCTTGAAAACTTGACCGGCTATTTCAAGACCAATGCAAAGATGGGGACACGTGACAGCAGCCAGAGCAGGAYGTGTTGGTGACCTGAGTCCCACCAGGACTGGCAACAGAGACACCCACAGCACACTGAGGGTTAACATCGAGAGAAGTGGGCTGTTCCAGAGACTATCTAAGCAACAGTTTGATTTTGGAAATGCAAACAGGAAAAGTGGAATAAAATTAGAATTTTTCACCACTCCCCTCCCAGGGTGTTGAGGGCTGTATTGGCGGTACTGCAAGTCCTGTCAGGAAGAAATGTTTCAAAGGCAAGACAGAATAAAAGAAACTTTTGTCATTTATATGTCTATATCTATATCTATACCTATATCTATATATATCTATATCTATACCTATATCTATATATGCTCACCTAGGACAATATATAACTCATGTTTGGTTATTCCAAGGTCTTAGTACTGTCTTTTTCCTGGCATTTCTATAAATTCATTTTACAATATGAAAGCAAATGTGTCAATAAGTAACAGCAATTTGCTTTCTGCTCTACAAACAAGTACAAATACTGCAAGAATTCACATGAGCACTAGCAACATTGCTGTGTGGACTGGAAGGCTGGGTAACTTTTAAATACCGGTTTGTATGGGGAGCTAGCCAATCTGGAAAAATATGTGCATGCCACCATTGCGGGGGAAAATGGATATTTTTGCAAATCCTACTGCTATGGCTCAAAATGGCAATTTAGGACCTCACATTGAGATGGTCASATTGTGAAGTTTTTATTTGTGAGACTGAGAGAGAAGAATAAAACCCAGACATTGAACGAATGGTGACTGCAGCTTTTAAACCTCAAAAGCAAAAGTTTCAATGGAATTTTTTTTAACTGAAATTCCAACCCACCTATTCACAACTATGTAAAACAATTAAACTACTTTAAACACTGAAACACATCTTCTTTTTGATCTATCCCACAAAGAGGATTTTATAATCCTTATGCCAACCACTGGCTCAGAAGACTCTTGATTACAAATTAGAGATACAAAAACATCAAAAATGCAGCCTTGTTTTAAGAAACCTTAAAAATTTATATTTATTTTTTCTCAGAGGTTGCAAAGTTACCATTCTTACAATCCAGTTCCCAACATCTAAATATAATTAAAGCTGATTCTGAGGTCCTCAGTGCTCCTGAATAGTTAACAATTTTCAAGTCCAGCTGAATTAAGGTAYATGAACAACAATGCAGCTTTGCGGTTTTCAGAACCAGGCTTCGTCTAATGTCAGATTTGACACTGGAGAGTGGGATTTTGAAATGCCTCAAGTCTGGAGGCAATGGCAAAGTGAAGTCTCGCATTTAGGCACCTATGAACTTACAGGCTTATGAACTTAGGCACTTGTTGCTGAAATGCTACTCCAGCTGTAATCAAGTAAACATTGGAGGTGGGAATTTATGAAAGTTGGAGGTCACTATGAGTGTGAATGAAGTTCACGTACTTAAAAAAAAATTTCAAAGTAGGAGAGTTCTGTACTCAGCATGTGTACAGAGCAGCACAAGTGTACACAAATTGTGTTACCTGGAAACAGAGGAGTTCACACTAAGCCTTTGTTAGAGCTTAGAGCTATAACAAGTCAAGAAGAATTGAATAATTAACAAAAATAATAATGCTGTTGTGATGGTGATGTTGTGTTCTGTTTCACAAATTACCTACAGAATTTGATGAATTATTTCCATTTCATTTTTTTTTTTTATAAAATGTATCATCCACAATCCAGAATTCGCCTTAAAGGCTATGAGCTAATACTAGACTTGGATCATCTTAACTGATCCAAATGTTAAAACCTCTCTTAATGCCATCTGAGTTTCAGAATGCCTTTGTGAGATATTTTCATGACACAGAAGGATAATTGCCTTCASTGCCAGTATTCATTCATGCCTTGCCAGAAGACAAAGGMCTAAAGCTCACACATCACTCTCACAAGTTTCAACATTTTTTCATCTATTTTTTTTCAACTTGCTTTCAATAATCAAAACYCTTTCATTAGCTCAAGCTCCTTTCTCTATGATTTTTCTCTTGCACATAGGTCTGTGACATTTCTGGACACATTCTCGGGTGACTGACACTGAGCACAGCAAATAAGGACAGAGCAAAGCACCAGATGTTTTCCCTTTCTTTTTTGCAGCAGGAATATTCATACTGATCTCTTAGGCTGCATCATCTGTGCCTAAAAGAATGAATAAAAGTGAAGAATTTTGAGAATCAAAGATTACAGAAGTGGCACACAGTGAGGAAAACAGGATGGGCCTTAGAATCATAGAATCATTAAAGTTGAAATAACCTCTAAGATTGTCAAGTCCAGCCATTAGCCTTGCATTGCCCACTAAACCATGTCCCCAGAGTGCCACAGCCACATCATAACCCTCTCACCAGGGGCTTATCAAGGACAGGCCCTAGGCAAAAAGCTGGTTTTGAGAAGACACTTCAATGCAGAGAAAGTGATCAGCTGCTGCACAGAAGAGACACAGCTTCCTTAGATGTTCAGTCCCAGGGAGGAAATGGAGGGGCCAGTTCCACTCCTATTTACAGGAGCAGAAAAGCAAAGGCTGGAGACATTTCAGCTGACTGAGTGGTGACAGAGCATTTGGTCACAGCTGTGGGGATGTAATTCAGATGTTATTGTTTGCAGCAGAATTCTGAAGAACCTATAGGAAAGCCATGAGTGAAACACGGAGATAACAAAAGAGTGGCAGCAACAGCCAGTGTGTAACAGATAATCAAAGTGAGGGTGATGWGGGCTGGCCCAGTGTGATAAAATGCAATGGACGCACTTGCAGGATGCATCACAGAGAA